ATTTGTTTGTTTTCTAAATTTCACAAAAAGTTACACAAGTGTTATAAGCACCAGCCGTTCCTAATCTTGAAGTGATAGGCAACAGAGAAAGCCCCTAGTCAACTCTTGGGCTACTCTTAACCAAGGAATAGGGAGATTGACCATAACATTATAACACCCAAATAGCTAAAAGGGTGAGAATGTTTGGTGACAAGATTTGATCCTACAAACCACACATTGCGAGTCAAGTACCCTTTTCGCCAGGCCAGGCCTTTTAATTAGATAACTAAAACTAATGATGTAATATGGACATCTAATACATATACAGTTTCATTCACAATTTACCCCAAGACGTGTGGTGCCATCTAGTGCTTTGTCTATACACTTTAGTAAATGGTGTATAATACTGCGAATGTTATTTGTTTAGCTCTATATTTAGAAATTTACTAGCTGATTTAAAATTTCATTGTATACCATCTGCAACTTACGCATTTGCCAGCCCAACACTTGTATATTTTTCTGGGTTACTCAGACGGTAATAAGTAAGAAACTGATTCACTGGTCTGAGTGGGCATCTTCCCTGACGACGGAATATTGTTTCAAAATCCGTTGGGTTGAATACTTGTACCACTGGATGGCGCCACTGAAATTCTTCTTTGAATATTTGTCCATACCGCTTATACTTGTCGTAGTTGGCTTCGTGTAGTTTAAAAATATCATATTGACCTATCAACGGAACATAGCATTTATTAGCACAAAAAGTAATATTGAAAACAAATGAACTGCATAAGAACCGAAAATATTAATAATAGCTGCATATATTTCTAACTATACTTTACCTAAACCCCAAGGAAAATACTGCCATCCAGTCCCCACGAGTGGCAAAGAAGGCCACGGTCCAGGTATAGAAGAAAATGGTAATGGACTGCGACATCCATGCGCCATGTGTGTATGTTTTGGGACCTGGATTTCCAGATTTTCCTCGTGTTTCTCATTCACATGTACTGATGCACAAGGAGTCTCGGATGCAAGACGATATAACCCCGCTCGTCGCCATGGTAACAGCTTTAATAAAGAAGGGCAAGATCGGGAAACAGCAAGACCGGTTCCACTGCTCATACTGTGAAGTAAAAACACACGTGATGAAATAACAAATACATTATAACATACGTTTTAACGGTTCGGGCTTAACCACCAACATAAAACTATTCATAATGTTAAAATAACAAAGACATTCTAACATGGCTCTTAACGGTTCGGGCTTAACGACAAACATATAAACTATTGATAATATTTTATCGGTCTTTGTTCACATAATGATATTTTGACATGAATACCAAAGACTGGGGCTTTGTCACGATAAACAAATAAACTGCTGATAATGTCTTGACTACATTTTTTTTTCTACATAACAGTGACATTCTCATACGACAACATATTAACCCTGCTAAAGGATGGTGGGACTTGCAACCCTTGCTACAATGTAACTCATTGTTTATAAAGAAACTCATTTCATAGTTGCTTTAAACAGATTACCCTCTTTTTGGTGAATTAGTTGTAACTTAAACTAAAGTTAATTCACCTATCGATGATATAAATTATATGACTTCTCTTTTTTGTTTGGCAATGAGGTCTAAAAAAACCCTAAGATTTGTGACGAAGTGTGTGGTGTTAACGAATAACACTACATAAATATCAGAATCATATTTCTCCACAAGAAAAAATTCGACAAAAAATAACAGCAGCCATCTGTACACTTTGTGAAGGAAACAAAGTACAAAAATAGCTTTATTGACATCTATACACTTTATGAAGAAAAAAATATACAAAAATAGCCTTATCAGACATCTATACAGTTTATGAAGAAAACAAACTACAAAATAGCTTTACCAGACATCTGTACACTTTATGAAGGAAACAAAGTACAAAATAGCCTTACCAGACATCTATACACTTTATGAAGAAAAGAATATACAAAAATAGCCTTATCAGACATCCGTACAGTTTATGAAGAAAACAAACTACAAAATAGCCTTACCAGACATCTGTACACTTTATGAAGAAACAAAGTACAAAAATAGCCTTAACAGCATCTGTACACTTTATGAAGAAAATAATGTACTCAATTAGCATTAACACCATCTATACACTTTGTGAAAAAAATAATGTACACAATTAGCCTTATGTCATTACAAGTTTCAGCTTTTACAGTAAGTAAGATTTATTTTCAAAACATGGAAGGTTGTTTCGATCACTAGTGCGATCATTCTCAAGTAAACAAGTTTTAACGGCAAAGAAGGTTTTAGTATTGAAATCAACAGTCTAGCAATATGCTTACATTATAAAATTGATAGTGGTTACTTATGCACGTGCATATCGATCCGCGTGAATTGACAGATTATTTATTTATAGCTGAATGAATAGTGCATAACTATAAAAAAATGTGGAATATGTTACGTGAAATAACGATCACAGACATATAGATATGTTCCTGGGTATTTGTTAATTGTGAGATTGTTGGATTTTATTTATAAGCCTTCTCTGATTTTTCTTTTGTTAATGTCAGGTTTATGTTTTAGTTCGATATATTATTCCAATACCAAGAAATAGCTTCTCAGATAAAACGTATCACTACAAGAAGTTATCTAAAATCCGCAAGGAACAGAATAATTATATCTCTACTCTCTTCTAATCAAAGTTATAATTTAATTTTCATATCACAAATCTTACAAAAGTCAGCGAAACCTAATGTTACAATTCAACAACACAAGCCTCACAGAAAGAATCCGCCTATATTATGGAGAGATATGAAAGAAGAAAAATATGTTATTACAAAAACAAACTGAAATTGAAGAATGCGATTTTAAGCTTAACCTTTCTAAAAATATGCAAAAAAGAAAACTTGACATCAACCTTCCTAAAATATAAAACTGAACCTTCAACTCAACATAAAAAGTATCATAGAAAAACTCAAATAAAACTTTTAAAACAACAAAGGAAAAATATAGGAAACTGAAATTTCTCCACAAAAATGAACTTAATCTCCGTAGCAAACTCACACGTAGTTACCCATGAAGATTACAACTTACTTTCATCATTAATACATAAAAGCACCTAGTTTAAAGGCTTAACTATCAAAAGAAATTTAGACAAAAAGCTAGAAAAACTTCGCCTGTCCGCGCAATCCAACAAAAAATAGACCCAGACACTGTAAAGATAAATATAATCAACCTATCGAACTTTCAACTCGATGAATCTCAGTAAACAGCCCTAAAAAAGGTCTTAACTGCGGAGTAACCTCTCCCACCATCCTAGTGTTAGATTAAAAAACTAGCTTTGAATACCTTTGCAGGAAAGTAATGATAGATCAAGTCGCTAATCCAATCAGCAGCAACTAATTCCGAGTCCAAGACCACAAGAAGAATCCCCGTCTAATTCATCTTAGGATAACGAAGAATCACCGAAAATATTCAACATCCCCCAAAAACAATAACAACTAAATTTCCTTATGAAATAAAAAACAGGTCCATTAAAAATCTTCTAAGATTAATTGAGTGAAAAAACTTCGAAAATACTTAACAAAAAATAAAAGCATATAAAACAAAATTTGACATCAGCAGAAAGAAAATGCCTAAAACTTCTTAGGAACACTGAATACATTGTTATTCAAAGAGCCGATAATTGAAACTCGATCGTGATTTTATCAAACAGTACGATTCCTTAGTGGTAAATATATCTATCATTCACTAACTGAAATACCTGGCGGGAAATGTTTAAACTTAATTAAAACAATGCAAGTTTCACAGCAATCATATATTTCAAAGTAATAACTTGAACATAAACTTTATTTCAAAATTTTAAAATTATAACAAAGCTTCTTCCTAAACAACATTTGCAGTTTGCATTCCATCTGCCAACAAACAAAGATTTTAAGGTGATTCCACCCTTAAACACCCTACATCTCATTGACTACGAGAAAAGCACGGTTGTTTGAGAAACAATCCACCAACTTTCATACTTTGACCTTGAATCCCTTTAGAATATTCAGCATTGCCTAAAACGTCAACTTGCCAAGATTGTTTGGGATTGACTCAATAGACTGGGAGTAATTAACTAACAGGCTTTACAAAATAGAAATAGGGTTAAGTTCAAATTTGACCCCCTTAGGACACTCCCCATAGTTTATGGTGTTTACATACAAATTTTGGTTGAGATTGGCCCAATAGGCTCGGAGGAGTTAGGGTGCAAACAAACACACACTTCGTCTTTATATATATAAATATAGTTGATATGTCTAAGTTTACTCACCTTAACCCAACACACAACAAAAATATTATAAAAAGAAAAATTATTATTTTTAAACTTTGTAACTTTTTGTCTACAACTAAATCTTATGCACCCAATTAAAAACACTTTCAGAGTTTAGACAGTAAACATATTCCGTCAAACCACTTGTCTGCACAAGATCCCCAAAATGGAATCGAGATAAAACAGGAACACCTAATCGAACTTTTACAACTATCCACATTTATTTGCTTTCAATACAGAGATTCGTAATTTCTAAAATAGCATGATTTGCCATTGGAAATCCATTATCAGATATGTTTGTTTGTAGTTAAGCACAAAGCTACACAATCGGCTATCAGTGCTCTGCCCACCACGGGTATCGAAATCCGGTTTCTAGCGTTGTAAATCCGCAGACATGCCGCTGTACCACTGGGGGCCTGCATTTTACCTTAAATATGTAGATGACGTTTTTTGCGGCTTTACTTGTGAAGATAAACAAACAAAATTACTTAAACAGAAACAATTCACAGTGGAACATGAAAACTTTACGATAATATTTAGGCTTCATCACTAAAATTCATAGAAAAATACATACAGCGGAAATTACATAATCTGGTTTTCTAATCATGTAATTCACCCGAAGCTAGGCACTCTTAAAAGCCTCCTGAATTTGCCATACACAGAAAACATCGACGAAGTTGCACACTTACCACAATACTCAACTAAAGTAAATCAGTTCCATACTAAAGTAGTTAAAGACTAGCACACAAGTATAACCTTAGCATAACACCTAAATTCGTTCTAACCCTGGTATGAAAATTAAACACATGTTAAGAAAATTATATAATGAACCCACTTTATCAAAAAATATTGATTTCAATAATAAAACTTTCTTTGCTGTTAAAACTTGTGTACTTGAAAATGATCGAACTAGTGATCGAAACGTCGTATCTGTTCTAAAAACAAATCTTACTTACTGTAAAAGCTGAAACTTGTAATGAAATACTACTTAATCAATATGTAAACTCAAAACGAAACTATTAAAAATAGCCTTACCAGGATCTTTTGTGAGGACGACAAAATGCAAAAGTAGACTTACGAGACACCTGTACACTTTGTGCAGAAAACACATTATATGCCGTTACATTTTGCGGAGAAAATAAAGTACAAAATAAAAAATATGGTGATTTTCCTGGTCATATGACTGCGTTCTAAAACTTTGAACGTACTAATAAGATGTGAAACCGGTTAAATCCCAGATAAACGGTAAAATATTTTCTAGGTGGCAATACCCTGTATTTTAACTATAGGTCAATGACCTAGCTATGTAACGACATATAATTTGTGTATATTCAAATCAACTATTATATTAAATACACCACAGAAGCTTACTGGTATATGGAGAACTGTGCATACATTTTTGTAAATACTGTAACAGTAAAATTCTGTTAACTAAGCTGCCAACCATATTTGGATAATATCGTGACAGCATATTTGACTAAGAAAGCCAAAGAAATTTCTAGAATGTTAATTTTCGAAGTGCATGCTTCATTAGATATGGTGATCTCTATAAAATAGCAGAAGATTGAGGACGATGGATAGATTTATTGGTAATGTTAACTCTTTTTTCACTGGTTTAATCTAAATTAGTATTATTTAGTTTAAAGCCACTGTGTAATACGAAGGACAGCACGCAAGGTTCTTAGGCGGACATAGAGAAATTCTGATCATCAACTGGATGTCCTTAGCATTTAACCAGTGGATAACGCTACAACCCTGTTTGGTAACCTCGCACACCTTACAGTCTCGTAGAATATTTAACCATGTCGACCT